CCTCTGAATAGTTAGTAATATAACAATACGGTGAAACAAAATGGTGAAAATATAATAAAATCTAACAAATATAATATCTATTATAGAATTAGGGGCTCGATACTGCAGTGGTTAGTGGTGCCGTTGCATCAGAGAGCAAAATGAAAAACATGGCGCTGGTTCGATACCCTTTTCCAGCACTCTCTTGCAATCAATCAACGAACCTTAAGGAGCGCCTCAGCTCGGCTAAGTCCAGAAATATCGCAAGAATCGTCCAAACCAGCATTTTACGACGTCCGTTAAGATGAGATCCTTAAGCAGGTTCGTGAGGGGATGCGAAGGAATCAATCTAATCCAAAATCCGCCCAGTAAGCTGTGATGACTAGTCATGTGATATAACAGATAAAAACTGCTAAAACCCTTTGAAGACCAGCGTTGATAGGCAGGCGGCGTCGCGTCGTCGCTTGCGCGGCAGTCAGGTAGGTGGCTCTGCATCTCTGTGAGTGCGTGTCTGGGTGTCTGCCTGCTTTCCTACAAGACGCGACGACGCCATTACAGCAGCTGGGTGAGATTTGACGTCGCGCGGTGTAAATCAGAAAGGCCCTTAAGGTCTCCAAGGGATAGAGTAGGTTTCAGTGTGGGTGTGGGCCACTGATGAAGCGGGCGACACCACCGAAACGTCCGTAAAGCTTTGACGTATAAAATAAAAGGTCCCAAACATTATCATAGACTATATTACGTGCTCAAAGCGAGGTTTGAACACAGTCGATAGGACGGACCTCTGAATAGTTAGTAATATAACAATACGGTGAAACAAAATGGTGAAAATATAATAAAATCTAACAAATATAATATCTATTATAGAATTAGGGGCTCGATACTGCAGTGGTTAGTGGTGCCGTTGCATCAGAGAGCAAAATGAAAAACATGGCGCTGGTTCGATACCCTTTTCCAGCACTCTCTTGCAATCAATCAACGAACCCTTAAGGAGCGCCTCAGCTCGGCTAAGTCCAGAAATATCGCAAGAATCGTCCAAACCAGCATTTTACGACGTCCGTTAAGATGAGATCCTTAAGCAGGTTCGTGAGGGGATGCGAAGGAATCAATCTAATCCAAAATCCGCCCAGTAAGCTGTGATGACTAGTCATGTGATATAACAGATAAAAACTGCTAAAACCCTTTGAAGACCAGCGTTGATAGGCAGGCGGCGTCGCGTCGTCGCTTGCGCGGCAGTCAGGTAGGTGGCTCTGCATCTCTGTGAGTGCGTGTCTGGGTGTCTGCCTGCTTTCCTACAAGACGCGACGACGCCATTACAGCAGCTGGGTGAGATTTGACGTCGCGCGGTGTAAATCAGAAAGGCCCTTAAGGTCTCCAAGGGATAGAGTAGGTTTCAGTGTGGGTGTGGGCCACTGATGAAGCGGGCGAGATCTCCAAAACGTCTGTAAGGCTCTGACGTATGAAATTCGAAAAGGCCCCAAACATCCTCACAGACAAATAAGTAGGGGAAGAATATATAAAATGGTGATAAATCAATAAAATAAGGAATTCTTCTACATTCTTAGTAGGGATAGTCAGATAAGAAGACCTTCACGATAACGCCTGGCTAGGAATTACGCACTTTCTTGCCATACCTTTTTCGAGTCTCTTACTAGTCGAAGAGGGAAAACCACCGGAAACATCAGAATTTGCACATTTCCGCTAGATCTCATAAGCACGAAGGGGAAGCTCCTCAACAAGGGCCAGAGACCGTGGGGACAACTGACTCAGATCATTGGCTTTGAAGAAGACACAGGCGTAACGGTAGCACGCGCCCTCGGTATGAGTGAAACGCAAGTTCTCATAGGGTTGTAAAGTCCAAAATAAATCTATGTCACAGATGCGCATATTTCTCGCCGGACAGAGCTCTTTCCGACTTTTCATTTGTTCCCTTGTAATCAGAAAGAACCCTATCAGCCACCAGCCTCTAACAGGTTTAGTCGGGTAGGCCCATATCGCTTCATAAACCCTGGTATGGCTGAAACGCGGGTTCAACTCCCATCTGAGATCGACTTTTTGGTGACCACACTCAACTCTCCTAGAGTTCTCAAGAGCTCTTACTCTTTTTTACTGCTTCTTTGCAGTGTTACGGATGTTCCAAATCCACCTAAGAGAACTGAGTGGTTAGCAAAAACTCGATCTCAGACAGGAGTTAAACCCGCGTTTCAGCCATACCAGGGTTTATAAAGCGATATAGGCCTACCCGACTAAACCTGTTGAGGCTGGTGGCTGCCAGGGTTCTTTCTGATTATAAGGGAACAAATGAAAAATTAGAAAGAGCTCTGTCCGGCAAGATTTATGCGCGTCTGTGACATAGATTTATTTTGGACTTACAACCCTATAAAAGTGTGCTTTGGGGAACCAGCCATCTGGGGCTCTAGCCAGAAATCTTAGCTGTCGAATGATTACTAACACTCCCATGAAAACTTCTTCTCCAGCGAATGTGGTCGGTTTTTCATTCGTTCCTCTATAATCAGAAAAAATTGTTGATAGCTAAGATAGAGCGATACTGAAGAAATAGTGGCGCTGAGTCGTTAGCCTAGACATTGCAGTGGTAGCACGGATTCCGCGGTATGGGTGAGACCCGGGTTCAACTCCTGCCCGAGGTCGAATATTTGCTCACCACTCAGTTCTCTTAGGTGTGCCTGGTCCATAGTAACGTTGCCATAAAGCAGCAGAAACAAAACAAATCTTGGAAATCATTTCTACCAACTTCATGCTATTGGCTCAGGCAACAAAAAATATATACGCTTCGACTTGCCAATAATGCAGAGTGACGTGCAAAAATTTTTGCACCAGACGGAACTCGAACCCGCATCTCACTCTCTATCAGAGGAGCGTGGGCTCTAAACCCGTTGTACTACTGACGACTCCTACTCTCGCTGGTTGTCAATTGCTTTGTAACACTTCTACGTGACGTCAAAACTCCAAAATTTCAAGAGAAAAAGACAGAAAGCCTCTAGATTCGGAAAGAAATGACACTGGCGATGTGGCAGGCAGTGACGACATTCAACGAAAAACAAGTCTCATTCAATTAGTGCTGAGGAGGAGGCGGTAGGATGTCCAACTACATCCTCACACAGATGATAATTACTCATTAGCATTGACTCACTGCATCTCCACATACAACAGGACACCGAATCAAAAAACCGATCAATAAACGAATCGATAAATCGATAAATCTAAATTAATCAAACTCTGCTAAGTCCAACCCTTTGCAGACGGCCCCACATTCGATATCGCCGCCAGTAGCGCGCGATTTTCACTCTTTACCAAAATTTGTTTTTTTATTTCGGGGAATTTTTTGAGTTATTTGTATCAGTCTGATAGAGCATGATATTCTCTACAATTTGAATATATCTTTTGTGCATATATGCTCCTATGCGCAAAGGAAACTCCGCATGTGAAACGTAATTTTATTTTCGCTCTCACAAGGCGCTATGGAAAACCCCTTCGAGAGCCAATTTGAGCACCAAATTCGCCGAGATTTGGGCTATCGAATGAGCCCCAAGTGGTCCGATAAAAAGCGATTCATAGACTTTAGCCAAGCAAATAGGGCAAACCAATTCCGGAGGCAAAACAAACTGTCGAAATCTCTGAGACTTAAGCTTCCGAATAACTGCTTAAATTCTAGATAAAAAGCTTTGCTCAGCGAAAAATAAATGATAGAAAAATACTTGTCGGAAAATCACTCGAATATTAGATACAAGGCTTTGTGCAGCCTGAGGAAATTCGAGGGTCAGGATAACCCAAATCGTCTGCAAGGGGTTAAGTTGACATTAGAGCTTGGGAAAGGCCGTTCGGCATGAAGAGTAGCGCGCTGGCCAATGACTAACCGACCGGCCACGATTCGTGGCGCGCGGCGACTGCGGGCGGGTCGCCCCCCACCGCCGGCGGAGGGCAGCACTCCTCCTAATGGGGCAGTGGTGGGTGGCAGAGGGACCTGGGGATCTTCACTGTCCATCACGGATTTCTCGGGTTCTCTGGAAATCTAAGCAAACTTCCTCGGGTGCAGACATCGCAATCAATTATAAGAAGAAATACAAATATCCGGTAAGGCTTGAGCGCATGTGATGGCGCAGTGGTTAGGGGTGCTCTGTGTCGCACGCAATGTCGATGGTTCAATCTCGCGCCTATGGCTTACCAATCATCCATCTTTCGGGGGTCGGCAAATTGGTTTCAGACGAGTCTTAGGCTTGTCTGGGTGGACAAGCAGCATTGACTCGATACAGCGGGAGGCCACCCGTGAGTCATTGTAAAGCCCAGACCTCGAAAAGGGCTAAGCATTGAAGACGAATGCAGGCGCATCCATCAGGGATTGATCAATACCGAGAGCTTTATCCTTTTACTTATCCAAAAATGCGGATAATATGCAAATTTCTCAATCTCGGGCAAAATCGAACCCGCTTCTCACCGTTGTCGACGCCACACAAAGAATGCTAGCAGAGCGGAAGCCTCAGTGGTGTAATTGGTTAGCACGCCCCCCCTCCCTCCGGCAAGTATGAAATGCGGGTTCGCTTCCCGTGTAAGGTACAAAGATCTGCATATCACTCCACATTATTGAATATATACCTTATATATATATATATATATAGATACCTTGAATAAATAATAATAATGATATAAAGGATAAAGCTCTCGGCGTTGATCAATCCCTGAGGGATGCGCCATGCATTCGACTTCAATGTTTAACTTCGTTTGAGTGATTGAATGCACATCTGGCCTTTACAATGACTCGCGGTGGCGTCCCGCTGAACCGAGTCAGTGCTGCTTATCCTCCCAAACAAGTCTGAGATTTTCTGGTACCAGTTTACCGACCCCGGAGGAGATGGATGGCTTGGTGAGCCATGAGAGCGAGATCGAACCAGTGACCTCGTGTGCGACGCAGGGCACCTCTAAACACTGCGACACATGCGCCCTGATAATAATATATACCTTGAGTATATCATAACATCCAATATTGTTGAATGATATGCAAAACTTCGGACGTTGAACAGGATTCGAACCCGCACTTCACCCTTTCCAGAGGCACGTGCTAACCACTGCATTACCCGCGCTCATTCTACCATTACTCTTTCAGCGACGCAATTATAACATCGTACCACCGCTAGTCTTACAATATAACTTAAACCTCAACATACGTGATAATCATTATTTGAGCCACGCATTCTGATAAGCATTATTTGAGCCAATTTGAGTGGTCTTAAGAAAACACTCGAAACGAAGGATATGATATCTTAAAACTTTCATGAGGCTATGGAAAATAAGGTGAACCGGACACGTAATGCATTATAACGGCAAGCGGTGGACGAGAGCGTCTACCAACTGAATTTCTCGGAATATCCAGCTCTACACAGGACCACCACCGACCTGATTGTCCGCTTTCTTCACGAAAAGCCTAGACGAAGAAAGGTATGGTGCTCGACGGATTCCCCAAGGGAGGGGCACCCACCGGGCTACTCTTGTACGCGATAGGGTGAAATGGAAGAATAACTGCTGCCCTCTTGAGTTACTCGACGATAAACGAAACGACAGGTGATACCATCGCTAAAAGAACAATTAGACATAGAATTACCGTTGAATTTAGGAAAGTTTACTTATCTTACAGCACTGTGGATCAATTTGATATTAAGTCATGAATACGTCAAGTACTTTAACCTCTGCTAGGCAACCGTCAGAAACTGCACTGAAGCGCTTATCCACTCACTGAGATTATCAGCGGTACTCAGCCAATGCAGTCACCACTAGGAAAAAATATTCTATTTGTTGGTCAAAACGACCACAGTCAAAACCTCAGCTAACTAACACGTGGAAAAATATGTGTCACCTTGAGTAAAATTTTCAAGATTGGGAATTACCTTATCCGAAGAAATTCTAATCCACAGATGATTCAAATTCATGAGATATAAAGAAGAAAGCCACGTATTGATACACTTCAATAAAATGAACTTCACACATGTATAACAGCTTATTAACCGCGTACAAGACATATAAAAACACCTGAAGAACACCGAGATCAATAAGTAATTAGAATCCATTCTAAAGTCATCCGACACCTTCCGGAACAATACGATGCATCTCAACAATCTTTGAGCAATCATGAGCAGCATGAGATATGAACACTGAGGTAATTCAGATTTCATACTGAGAAAGACTTTGTACAAGATTCAAAATATTGTCGACAACATCACGATACACTTGCAGCCACGGTCTACCTCCTGGTGCAGCCGACGTTATTTCAGCTCGTATTTCACGAATCTACAAAAACTTAGGTTATGGTGAAGAAAATTAGTGCACCTTTATCCTTTCATGACCAATATGTCGCTGTAAATTGTAGACATAATTACTATGATCGTAAAGATGTTTGGTGGTGGTTAGAGGTGTTATGGGACACTCATGTGGTCGACGGTTCGATCCTCAGCTTGAGGCTCACTAAGCCTTCGATTCTTCTACATTAGGGAATTGATAGACTTGTCTAGGAGGATGGCAGGACTGATTTGATATACCGGCAGACCACCTCAAATTATTACAAAGGCCAAGATATGCATTCAATCACGTCAAACGAAATCTGATAAAATTGAATGCATGGGTTCACCTCTCCGGGACTGATCAACGCCAAGAGCCATATCTTCGTTATCCTTGTATTCACTACGGTCAATTATAATGAGATAAGTGAGGGATAGAACTAATCAGTTTCTTCCACGCTTAAACTTTTCACCTACAGAAAGTTCGTAATCTATCGCAGTATCTGAAACCACCTCTCCTATATACTCAGGATGAAAATTACAGAATTTATTACATGGAACTCGATGCAGATAAAACAATTCACTACGAAAAGAACACGATTCGCAGTGTTGCCCTTAGAAGGAGCTTAACCAAGTCAAGAGACCCGAAAACCTCAAGCAGCAAACAACGCGACATTTTATTAGCTGCAATGCTGTTAAATGCCTACTATAAACAACGATGAGTGCTGGATGTGGAAAAGAGATCAAACATATTCCCAAATGGGAGGTTCTCCTACATATCACAAAAATAATAAAGCTCTAGGCGCCGATTGATTCATGCAGGACGCGCCATGAATTCGACTTCATTAAGCATCGTTAGAGGTGACTAAATGCATTTTTGGCCACAATAATGTATCAAATCAATGCCACTCTACTCCCAGACAAATCTGGTGCCAATTCAACGACCCTAGAGAGTAGGAAGTTTGCTGAGTCCTGGGCGCAAGATCGAACCATCTAATACGCGCCTGTCAGAGCAGAACCTCATTTATAAGTCAGCTTGATAGATGCTTGATACTCACTTGCAGAACCTCGCGTTGTAGAAGATCACACAACGCTTGTATCAGTAGGGGATCATCGCTGCTTGTGAGAGCGGACACTGTGACACCGATAGCAAGACGCAAGCGATTACTGACCATATATGCCTCGGCCCAAGCTCTTTCACCTGAAATAGAGAAGATTCACCGACCAGTCAACGAACGAAGAATTCAAGAACAAAGCTCTTATCCTCTGAATGAAAGGCACCGATCACCTTGATGTGCACGTGGATTGAGTGCTGCCTTCAAACGATTGATGCTATCATTCATTGTACGCTCGACAGGCATCAAGTCCATATGAGTACCGTTTGCTGGAGAAAACATAGGCAATAGCTATTTCTGTAAGCATATCCTCCTCAGCAGTAGCCTGCAAATACTATCGGTTTCTCAGTTTTTACCCTGGAATATTCAACAGCATAAAGTCGCGAAATCGCTTAAGTTATTGCACTTCTCGGTAAATTTTAACATTTTGTTCAAGTGTTCCATGTCTTAAGTAAAACGAAAAACGTGTCATTCTATGCAAATGACAATTAGAGTTAAAATGGACAAGATTTTTGTAACTATTATTTTAACACCCATCGGACGTTACTACTACATTCCGATAATATTCAGTGACATGTAAATTTTGAACCGCGGGCAGAAGTTGTACTCGGGTCTCACCCATTCCGTGAGCCATGCTAACCACCACACCACTAGGACTACTGTCTCTTTTGTCAGTCTTTCTGGGATTGAAAACGGTTTCTTGTTCTGTTAATGAGAAGTTTTCAATATACAAGTCGGATATCATTATATACGGATCTTTTTAGAAGTTTCCATCACATGATATATATCCATTTCGTGTAAAATTCACATTTCCCATAGTTTTCCCATCTGATTGTAGCCAACTAAGAAAGCGTCATAACTTCATTGCTTAGCAAGCCGTTCCTTATGAACACAAGATATCACCTACTCTAACAATGTAGTTGATTCATCAAATGCTCGTTTTTCCTAGAACAAAAATCCTTACTCCATTCCGTAACTCAGGTGTCCATATGATGCCAAAGAATCTAACAATACAAAAATTACCCTCAACTAATGTCTCGTTCGATAGCAGTTATTCTACCACAGCTTGTTAAAACACTGCAAGAAGCATTCATTTCGGTCCACAGGGAGGTTCGTTGGAAGAGGTAAACAAAGAGTACACCACGCAAAGATGCACTTCGTTTTTGATTCAAAAAGGCACTCATTATCTCTGAAGAGACCACCGAACGAATAGAAATGTGGTTGGCTTGATAGTGCAACTATTGAGACCTTAAAACAGATTGCATTGTGATGAAGCTTGTCTACGGTACGATTATATGAGGGCACCACTACCACGTTAAGTGAACAATTAAGGACTCATGTCTACGTCTTCTTGATTCAAAACTTAATTGTAATTCAATGCAGCTTAGATCAATACAGGTTAGATGAATCATACTAGGAATGCACATACACTATTATAAGATGTATTAAGGTATATCGGGTTTCACAATGATAAGGGATGAGATGAAAAACAATTAGAATTCCAATAAATTAGAAACTAAACTTACAGGAATTGGGACGTTTTCTTCTATCCGACTACGTTCCACCGCCTTCTCGTCTAGGCGTGCCATCAACTCTTCAAAAGCCCTTTGAACGCTTTTAGGAGAGGTATCTTGTAGTGGGAATTCTTCCGAAAACTGCTGAAACCACGCCCACAACAACACCTTGCCGTCAACCTGAATATTACATGGTCTGTATAGATTTCGACGGTGTTGTAAATGTGAGTTCGTTGATACGAGTCCATGGTTTCATAGTTTTATAGAGTAAAAAGCGTAAGTATCACTTGGAAGATTTGAATTATACTGCTACTAAAAGTATCGAACGATGCGCAAAACACTCGACCACATGCGGAAGTGAACTCACTGTCGCCTATACAGGGGGGGGGGGGGAGGGTGCAGTCACTGCATCACCGAAGCCATCACTCTCCTACCTTTTCCGATATAAACTATTGTAAACTATTAGCAATCAAGCTTTAGCGGGTTTGGTCGAGTTAGCAGGAGCCTCCGGAATGGGTTTAAAGTGGGTTCAACTCTTACTTTTCCAAGCTGGAAACGCATAAACCGACTAATTTTCGACGGCTTACAGCATGGTGGCTGTTCCGAGGAAAAAGATGGGCTACGAGACGTCTCATTTACCATACTGGGCCGACCTCATAGCTACTGACCGCCACTTCTACAGAGAACAAGACAACTTCCTGAGCAAAAAGTGCATCAAACAAATTCGTCTCTCATAGATTCCTTAGAACATCCAGAGTATACAAGAAAGGCTGAAGACAATACCGCCGAGTTCAGGGAAACAGCCTTATTAGGCAAAAAACACTGAACACAAAAAGCTAGGGAACTAAATATGGATGTTTCTCCTGCCTCCGTTATCCTTCTACTCTTCGATTACTCTCTAGTGAAAAGTGGAATGGATAATATGAGAATAAATATCAATAACTATTCACATAATTTGCACTTAGTTGGTAAAGTGATTAAGTTGCTCAACCTAAAATGGACCTTGAAAACTTGAAAGATGTAGTGAAATCCGCATAGCACTGCCTTAAGCGCTATCAGCACTTGTACATACGCTAACTGTGTTTCGCCAAAAGAAAGGTAAATGCTTTGACACATTGTGTTGTATTGATGTTTCACCAATGCCTCACATCAATTGATGGATGATCGAAGAAGAATTGAAAAA